TTGAAATGAGGTGTATTGTCTAATATAGTAATATTGGAGTTGTTGTTGTGAAAATAATCATTGTATTGTTGTTTTTTCCTAGAGACTCTGTTTGGATGTTGTTAAAATCTGTTTGTATAAGTTAGTTGTTGTTGTTGTAGTGTGATGATGTCATAGTATTTTTTAGAGATGGTAAGCTGGATGGTCTACTTTTGGTGTTTGAGTGTGGTCTTAGAAGAAGGATGCATCATCTCTTTGCACTTGTATCAGTGTAGATGGAGTCTAGTTTGGTTATAATGGTCTTTTTGCTCTTGTTGTTTTAGTTACTACTGTTGTGTTCACTTATTTAGAGTTGGGGTTAAATAGTAAGAGTAAATGATACAAAATGGCTTGTGGGCCTGGTGTTTTCTTTGTTGTTAGTTGAGTGATTTTTGCTGCTCTGTTTTCTCTTGATTTTGATTATTTAGAAGTATAAACTAGTGGTATATGGATGTTGTTCTGTCTTCTTAACAATGTATTTAATTATTTATTTACTTGCTTTTTAAATTTTTATTGCATCAATTTTTATTTACTATTAAAATTGGGATCAATGTTCAAATTTGATTATTGTTATATACAAATTTGATTAATTTGTCCAAAATTGGTAGCCATAACTGATAATTTTTTTTATTTTAAAACTTAAAATATATTATTTAATTTAAAACTCCCTTAAATATTTCAAATTCCTAGTTTATTTAAAAACTTTAGAAAATTATTTATATTTTTAAAAAAAGATTACAGACTTTCAAAAATAAATAAATAAAATTCAAATTTATATTCTTTTTTAGAAATTATCTGTTGCAAGAAAAGATAAAATTATATAATCTAATAGTACTTATATACTTGATTTTTATATATTGCAAGTCAGAAATCATATTCGCTGATAGTCCCGGATTTTTCTTCCATTGGGTCTTTCTTTTCCTGTAAGCTGTCATTTCTAGCTTTTGCTGTCTCTATACGTAATTTTCCTTGTTCTGGTGATTTCACCTATTTATAAACCTATTTAATAAATAAATAAATTACACATAAATTGAAAATAAATAATAATTATTCACTTTTCCGTTAAGCT